AACAAACCTAATCGTGTACTTAGCAGCTTCGAACTTGTTATTTTCTCGTCTAGGTTTACTCACTCTTTGGAAACAGGGAAGAAACTCAGTTTTGTTGAGACAATGTCCGCAATGCGGTCTCGCGTTTCCTAGTCATAGAATAGATGGTATGTCTTTTTGAACACTTGCTCCTATGAGATTGAGTAAATAGCAATTGTACGGCTTGTACGAGTTAAGGAGAATCTTTTTACGGTCAAAACACCTATAGCGGCAAAAACTATGTATCTATCTACGTTTAAATAGCTACCGCCTTAATGAATAAGCACAATACGCTTATGAAAGCAACATTCGCTACTAATGATGCTATTCAGTCTTTTTGTGGATTCTAATTATGTCCCATGTTGTTGCAACTATGTCTACTATGAGTAAGGCCGACATATATAATGAAAGAAGAAAAGCAAATTTTGCAATACGAAAAAAAGAGGAGTATGGTGACAGGAGCAAAGCATTTTTGAGATGATGAGAAATTATAGCACTTAGAATGGGAAAATCTTCAAACCGGACAGGAATCTCGGGAACAATTTAGTAGTATGGTATCAGATACATATTAGTGGCAGAAACATGAAATTGATTGAATATGAAACTACTAAGAGAAAAATATCCTCTAGTTTCATCTTTACAATGACTCAAGCACCAAACTCAGTAAACATAGCTTCAAATGGTAGCTCAAAAAAACGGAAGGCAAATCTCATAGCTAAAGAATCATATAGACATAAACATTTGGATATCGACTTCGAATTTATGATTTTTTATGTGTAAACCCTCCGCTTTGTACAAGAATAACAAAAAAGATCACTTGCCCACTAGAGACATTTCATTTCCAAAATTGGGTGCTAAATTTCTTTGAGAAGCTAAGTCAGAACGCATGCACAGATATTTGTAGTATGTATAACGTCTATTCCTTGATTCATCGAGAGTGGCAGGTGGAAGGCGACCGCTCGTGAGAGCGGTCGCCTTCCACCTGCCACTCTCGATGAATCAAGGAATAGACGTTATACATACTACAAACGTGGAACTGCGTCTCTCTCGTGAGCGTTCTCTCTAATCATTCCTCAGGCTTGATAGCGATTAAAGCCCCGTCTTTTATCCTCCACTACCGTTGATTAAAGGTTACGGGTATGTGTCAATATTATGTGTCAATATATTAAGGTAAAGTCCCTTAGGTTGGTAACTGTAACCCACTATTAGCTGATCTTACACTCTTTTGGTACGAATATAAGCGTTCCCTCCAAGATAGCAAACATTTACCAAATATTTCTTCATAGATATATGGATGATCTATTGCTTATTCTAACATGGAAATTATACTGTCGAAAAATAGCCAAGAAGATCTATGATTATAAATTTTAAATAGAATCTACACATATCATTCAATCTGACTGAGAGAACGCGAGCACGCTTTGCGCACATTTGATTGACAAGTTCATGAGTGACTTTCAACACGTTTCGGTTTATTTACTATTAGGTTCTTGTAAGAACATGTTCGAGCAAGGTTCAATACGAGTTCAAACATGTTATTTTACGAATTCCCAATAGTGCTTTACCAAAACCGTTAAAACGCACTCATAAACTTGTTAATCAGAAGTGTGCTCGCGTCCCTTAGTCAAAGAATGAATGATACAAATATATATAGAGCAAAAAGTCGACTTTTAGATAGTTTGCCTACTGGTCCTACTCCTGCGCTGAAGAAGTCTACACAGGAGAGCTCGAAAACGGCGAAAGAACTCTAACGCAAGAGAGAAATCAGCAGGTGGGCAGGGCCTCTCTCTGTGAAGTCACTCTCCCAGCTCCAGGAGCGATCTTCTTGCTTCCGCTAGCCGACCTAACATTGCCACCGGTCAGATGTAAAAGGTGCTTTGAAATCGCAACTGAGACAATCGCTCCTGAAGTTGAAAGAGTGACTTCACAAAGGGGAGAGCCCCGCCTGGCTGATTTCCCTCCTGCATTAGAGCCCTTTTTTCCGTTTTTGGCTCTCCAATGTGGATTTCCGGATTTGGAATAGCGAATAGGCCCAGGTAAGCACAAAATCTTGAAATCGACTTTTTGCCCGGACACTGCCTTCAATGTTAAAAGATTCATACATACATCTAGTATTTCGATGAACATGGAAAAGGTAGTATCATATACAGAAACTCTTAGGATAGCAGGAACATGTACATACTTAAACGATTTTGTGCAAAAAACTATCACAACTCAAAATTATTCCACTCAAAAATGAATATATCCAATACCCTAGACCCTCTCTCCTTATTGAAGAGTCTGTGAGAGAGTCTAGATCTTAAAACTCCGTCTGAGGAAAGGAACGAGACGGAGTAAACATGTATAGTTATTCTTTATATATGTGACACAGATACATTGAACTTTCCAGTGTCATTTATCTTATATATAAAGCTGAATGTCTGTTTGTGTGTATGTCTGTATGTATGTCTGTCTGTATGTATGTATGTTCCGAATAGAAATTTTTATTTCTGAATCGATCCGGAATTTGCAAACATACACTTCGGAGCCGGGCGGGTGTCATAGGCTACTTTTCATCATCGACCGATATCGATTTTATCAATTTTTATCGATTTTTTTGCATAGTTTGACCTGCAGGGCTGGGAGTTTGCATAGGAGGTGATCGAGCAGGCTGATTACGAATACTAGATTAGTTTTGAAATCCTCCATTACTCTTATCAATTTTTATCGATTTTTTTGCATAGTTTGACCTGCAGGGCTGGGAGTTTGCATAGGAGGTAATCGAGCAGGCTGATTACGAATACTAGATTAGTTTTGAAATCCTCCATTACTCTTATCGATTTTATCGATTTTTTTTGTAAAGTTTGACCTGCGGGGCTGGAAGTTTGCACAGGGGGTAATCGAGCATGCTGATTATGAATACAATATTAGTTTGGCGCTGTTCGGCTATCCGGGCCCCAAATTTTTTATTGTCGTAGAGCTTGCTCAAAGTTCGTGTATAAGGGTTATCTTACACACTGATTACATATATCACACTCCGTAGAACGTCTCCCCGTGTGGTTACGATGGGTGTACGGTAGGGATTCAAAATCATGAATTCGGCTGGAGTTCGATCCAGAGAACTTATTTAACATGCTGATTACGAATTTCAAACTCTCTCTGCATATTGGGACCTTTTTATATATTACTAGCTGGCTTACCCAGCTCCGCCGTATGTTCCGAATAGAAAGTTCCATTTCTTAACCGATCCGGACCAAACTTGGCACACATACACTTCGGGCCCCGGCGGGTGTCATAGGCTACTTTTCATCATCGATCCATATCGATTTTATCGATTTCTTGCAAAATTTGAGCTAGGGGGCTGGAATTTGGCAGAGGGCCGCCCTTCGGGCCCGCCGGGGCCCGAAGTGTATGTGTGCCAAGTTTGGTCCGGATTGGTTCGAAAATGGAATTTTCTATTCGGAACATACGTACACACAGACAGACATACAGACATACAAACAGACATTCAGCTTTATATATAAGATGGCGGTATACTTTATGGGATCGAAAACATAGATTTGCTCTAAACTCCGTCTAGGGTGATCATTTAGCGCGCCGAACATGAATATCATGCTGAATTCGCAGGATAGTGCATTTTCTTGGGTTACGGTGGGTGTTGATGGGTCGAAGTTTCAGATTTGCTCAAAACCTTACCTGTAACGGTTCAGAAGTATACTGCTTATGAATATGATGCTTGCTCGCTGTCATAAAGCATTAGTCAAGTTATGGTGAATCGCGGGGTTTGAATGGACATTTTTTCGCTTTCGGGTCAATTTAGATCCCAGATATTCACGAAATGGTTGAACGGTTGCTTTGCATGGCGGTCTCCAGCGACATCCTGATAACCTGCCCAAAGTGAACGCACGCGGCAAATCTCCCTCCCCCTGTTTTTGCTTAGGTAAAAGCCGCCGAAGGGTTATCGCGCGCTGCAGTGGTCCTATAAGGAAAGCATTGCGGTCATGGGAAACTTTTATACCACACGAATTGCCATTATCATGGGATTAAGCACGATATTCTTGAAACAGCATTTTAGGTAATTCCCTGCCAAGGTTTCAGGCAGGTTCATGATTTTTAACCGCTGCCACGCGAAATGACTACGATATTCGTCATCAGCCGCTTGAATAACTCCCATATATCGAGTTTGAGCAAGATCCACCACAAAAACATTTTAGGGCCCGGATAGCCCAATAACGCCATCAGTTTTTAGAACTATCCTTACTTTTATCGATTTTATTTTTTTTTGCAAGTTTGAGCTACGGGACTGGGGGGTTGGGTTGGTGAGGAAGGTAGTTGAGCATACCGATTACTAACTCAGCGGGAATAGGGAATTGCATGTAGAAGTAGGCACAGGTAAAGGTGTACAGGGATAGAAATGGAACCTTTTTCGTTTTTGGCAGGGCAGGGCGGAGCCTGGTAAGCCAGCTAGTCACTCAATATGGCAAGTCTACGCGGCTGTACGTATAGAAAGGGCTCAGTTAAAGGAATTTTGCAAAACAGCGTCGAAATCTACTGTCAAGGAAAATTCGTTCAAAGTTTTCTAGGCCTTCGCCAGAAGCTTGACCTGGACAGTTTCTTCGAACGAAGGGCAAGCTTATAAACAAAAACTAGCTGTTGGAAAAGGCGAATAGAAATAATTTTGTTGAATGACGTCATCTGGACACACTTCCCCTTATGAAAACTTCGCGTGGTTATTGCATCAGCTTTTCCATCATAATCTAACTTTTTTCTTCAACTTTCAATCGCCCTGGGGCACTATAGCAATTTTTTCAGCGAGCACATAATGGTACGTTAGAGAAAACGATTGAATGCACATTTTTAGTCTAAGATTTGAGAGAAATTCGTACAATTCACAATCATTACTGAGAATTCTGCATCTTGTGTGCATGTAACTGAAGAAGAGTAAAGGGAATGATAAAAGAGAAATAAACTGATGAATCTTTCTATGTATTCATCTTGCCCACCTAAATGTGCAGTAGATGGGTTTCCAGCCCTATGCGATCCGTCAATGCTCGTTTTTTCAGTGGCGAGATGGATTTATTGCTCTGAAATGCACGGATATAATATTTCATTTCAAACAGATCATTTGACGAACGCAATGTTTTGCAACATTTGACGAAGAATAGGAGATTGCGCTACCAAAATTGTTCTCGGTAACGATTGCAGAAGAAGCAAACTAATATCAACTGAAAATCTGCAGCCTGCTGGATTTTCTTGCTTGGGGTCACATATCATTCAGTCTAAAATTTCACTAAAAATGAAAAGCGAGAGCTATAGCGAGGCAGATCAATGAGAAGGTGTGCAATGCACAAAGGAGCTAAGCACGAGATGAATAATGAACCGCACCAGAAGGCAATTTTCATGTTTTTGGAAATTTCTCTGCCTAGGCCTATAGCGCCGTACTGCTGACGCATCAGAATGAAGTGGAGCAGAAGGACAGAATAGGGTATTTGAAATGGCCCATGGGATTGTCAAATAGAAGTCTCGTAAGCTTCATATAAATATTTTCCTTCACCAAAAGTGATTTCTACTTCTCAAATAGTATTATACCAAAAAGCTATGTATTATGTGACTCAAACTTATTGCTCTTGGAAACTAATCAATTTTGTAAAAACTGTTATTGCGATAATACATACTTAACTGATATTCCTGCAAGCTCTTTAGTTTTCTGGAGCCTGGTATCCTAAAAACTTCGAAGCGTCTAAATGAACGATTTCAAAAGAGTAATCTTGGAGGAACCGTAGCTACCACTAGGCTTTCTTTACATTCAGGTTGGGCTTAGTCAGCTTCAAATCTTTGGGTTTCACAAAAGCTAGTTTTTTTCTCGTACATAACGCACAGATGAAAAACCGTGGGACATACGTAGCACTGCAGTTAGAGTTGTGCTAGTCTTAGCATTGTTAGGTTGTTTAATTGTTTTGATCTTTTAGCTCTCTCTGCCTTAGACTCTCTCTTGCAATTTCTTTTACTGTTTTCACCCAAATCAGCTTTTCTGGTTTGTCATATTCTTATGACTAATCATTTTAGCAGTTATGTTAAGTCGCCTCGAAGGCGGAACTATTAGGCATTTATTGAAGTCATATAAGAGCGAGTTGGAAGGATTTAACCCGTGGATTCAACCCGTGATCTTGATTGCGACGATTCCGAATATATTTGAGCGTAATAAAACTGAACATATCACTTTTTTTATGAGCTACGGTCCTTGATCGTTAAATCTCGATGCCTTAGCCTTCTCTGACTGCAGATCAAAAAGAACTCATTATGATTCGTTCTCATTCACATCACAAAGGTGTCTATCACCTGAAACCTGCAAGGAGTACGTCGGACCTAATTTTTGTTGCAAACCATTATTGATTTTTGCAAAATGCTATAATACAGGGAAGAGTCAGTTTATGCCAAGCCTGTTAAGTTTTTTCAGTTGTAATTGTAAAAAGCTTTGATGCTGTTTTTATTTTTACATACCTTTCTGTAGTTGAAGGATGTATGTGACCGAGTAATATTAGGTAAGCTATAGGAGTTTGCAAACATACGTCAATTTGTAGGTATTCTGAGCATTTTGCCCGCTTTATCTACGTTTTGGTATCTTTATAGAAAACGACTTATGATGCATGAAAAAACCTTTGCACGCAAAAGATTGAAATCATCATATTCATATGCCGCACAAGGCCTAAGGCATACTTCACGCAATTCGAGTCGCTGCGCAATATGGCACTGCAGCGACTCTTTGTCACTTGTCGTTAGCGCGCTTTGCATGTGCCAGACTTAAAGCTTTTGCTCTGACTTACGCTAACTACGCACCTATGCACTTAGAACCCACGCATGATTGATCTGTAAATATCTGGCAAACTGCCAAGTCGCGTGTATGTAGCGATTTGACGAAATCGCGCAAGGTATGCCTTAGGCCTAAAGTCAGCCTGCTGCTTAGAGACAATCTCAACTATGGAGCTGGCCTTTTGAGAAAATCATTGTTTGGCATCCCTGCAAAAGCTGTCAGTCACTTCACTGCCAGACGACCTACATCAATCTGAGACGCTCGCAAAAGAGAATGACAACAAAAAAACCGCTGCAAGCTAGACGCCGTAAAATTCACATACCAACTGGATGACTGTGGATCCCGCCGAGAAGAAATTCTTTCACATCTACCTAATATCACCAACGACCAAGATATCGCCACCATGGACATACATCATTGCCGACAATCGTTTGATTAGCGTAATGGGACGATGCTCCTCAAAGAGTGCTGGAGCATCACTTTTATTGTAAAGTGAACTTTTGACTATGCCATAAAATAGTATTGTTTTGTTATTCTGATGGAGATCTCCAATAATTTTTTGGCACAGTCACTCCCCCCCCCCTCCCCCCGATCTGGGCCACTGGGCCCCCAGGCTAACTCCACGCTTAGCATCTGACCTCAGATCAATTCTATTACCTAAATGCCCGTTCCTAGATCGTCGAGATCATAAGCTCGCGAAAAATCTAACAAGGAGAGGATACTTAGTCGAAAGCAGCAATCTGGATGAGACATATATTATCTTAAAGCGCTTGAAACGCTGGTTCCAAATCTGTAGTTTCTAGCTGCGGAGCGGTTTTGTAAAGGGAATTATGAGGGCTGTTTCCCTCCGGAGTTGAGGCGCCCTCCACCAGGTCTCCCCTTACCTATGAGCACTGTAGAGGAATACCGACTGGTGGCAACGATTGGTGGTAAGTGACGTGCTTGATAAGTAGAGTGTCAAGGTTTTAATCCCCTTGGCATGCAACTGTATCGCAGTTTTTGCCAAATTGAGCTTCTACATGGCTTCAGAGCCCTAAAGCCTCAAATTTCTGATGATATTGATGCTAATCGAAGAGTTATAAGTGTTAAAAAAAGCCAAAGCAGTACGAGCATTATAATGCTTATTGTAATCTTCATTTAAGTTACCTATCTTTAGGCCACTTGCCACCAGCTGATACTCCTTTACAGTGCTCATAGATAAGGGGAGACCGCTGGAGGGCGCCTCAACCTCAGAGGGGAACATCCCTCATAACTCTTTCTACAAAACCGCTCTGCAGCTAGAAACTACAGATTTAGAATCAACGTTTTAAGCGCTTTAAGATGATGTATGTCTCGTCCGGATTGGTGCTTTCGACTAAGTATCCTCTCCTTGTAAGAAACATTCCAGACATTTGGAAAACACAGCCCAAGCCTTGTCGTCTCCTTTAGAGTCTGCGAAACAATATTCGGGACCGCCACCGCTAATAAACCGCGCATTTATTGCTGCATTTTTGATACTTTGTACAGCTTGCATTCTCATCTGCAATCATTATTGCAAATAACCTTTAGTTCAACGGGATTGGCGGCTGTAAGGCGGGGCTTCGAAGCCTAATCAAGGCTAGGGAATGATCGAAGAGCATGCTCTCAAGAGAGACGCAGACTGCATCGCGGGTTCTAGCGGTAGCCTTCCAGCCGATCTCGTTAAATCAAAAGTATTTGTACTTTCTGGTCTCCAATACATCAAAAAAGCTTGTGTTCATCTGTTATAGAAGTAGGTGAACGAATAACGTTAATCCGAAAGTTCTGTCCGATTTGCAGATTTTCTAATTTGATTTGTTACAGCTTTTTTAAAATAGGATTTCCGGACAACGTAATTTTTGTTGGAAATGAGCAGGTTTTTGCTACCAAAGAAATTGCACGACACATGAAAAACGCAAGCGAGAGAAGCGAAAATCTAAAAGATCAACAATGTTTTCTCAAGGCCGTCTATTTTGACATAGTAACGCTTTACATAAGGAAACAAAGAAAGATTTGATTGTCGACGTTGGATAGCCTGTATTCCAGAAATTGTATCATAGCTAGAAAAATCATGTATATTCGGTGCTTGGGAATTTTTGTGAGCAAATAAAAAAGCCACGGCAGGGTCCGAAAAGTATGAGCGTCACAATTTTCGTTTAATGATTTTTCATAGGAAACAAGATTCTGTAATATTAAGGGTCAAGCAAGGGGTGTGACACACGATCGCTGGTTACGACCCCCCCCCCCCTCCCCTGACTGCTATCTTAATAAGACCCCCTGAACTATATACTTAATATAGCAATACCAGAGTTGAGAAAGAGGTCAGGCACAAGTCTTTCGAAAACAACCCCTCCCCCTCTCATGAAAGCCCTCAAACGACCCCTTCTTAACCTCTGGACCTCAAAGTGTGACATTCTGGAGGACACCAGCTTTTTCTAGAGAGTTTTCAAATTTCTGAGAGCTGTACGCCCGATTTTCTGTGACTGCACTTTACAATCACACGTAACTTGACGGCTGATTTTGATCTGAATGGGCATATTGAAAGGGCCATAATTTTCTTATGGGTGGGGCGTTCGGCTCCAAATTTCCAGTGTAGCAAGAAGAAGCTATGTGCTCAATACTCATACCAGCAATGGAGCGCTTTCTGGATTTTGAAGGCAAGTTAAGGGGGTGCGGCACCCCCCCCCCTTAAAACCTGCGGCAGCCGCAGCTTTTAAGGAAGTGTGCCGCACCCCATTAACTATATCAAAAAAACATTTTTAAGCGGACAGTATTTATATGAATCGATAGCCTAAACCTTGTAGATTCCATATGAGTGTTTGGAGCCTGATTCGTCTTCTTAGCTTTGAGTAATATTTGGTGAAAGCACAGCGATCAAAAGCGAAAAGTGGGAAAAACGAGATTGTGGTTGGCTTCTAATTCCACAGGTTGCAGGTCTTCTGAAGCGGGATTCCTGAGATGGACAAAGAAGGAGTAGTGCTTTGTCTTGAGTGCAAAAACTGGTAGCTGATTCACCATTGAAACAAAGTTAACAATGTTGGAATTTGACCATATCATTTAGGTAGCCTAGTATCTTGAATCTTCAGAATTCGCTCACACTTTGTCTACAGGGGTTAATTGACATGCTAATTATGGGTATGATACAAATATCATGTTATCACTATTATCAGATTACCCAACTACGATCCTCTTTTGACTCCTCAATACGACCCCCCAGGTGTGGCGTGCCGCACCCAACGCTTAACCCTGGTAATATTATTTTTGCATGCCGGAAACA